GCCTTCTCCCAAGGAACTGGCAGCCAAATCTGGCTTCTTTCTAAAGGGTGATGGAATCTGAGGTATGATTTAGAATTTAGCAATGAAGCACAGGTCATAGCTTGGGAAACCTGGATCCGCAGGAGGGGCCTGAGACCTGAGGTCAGAGCCTCAGATCTTGCATTGGCAGCAAATGGGGACACAGCAGCTGGACTGGCAGCAGGAAGACCCACAGCCTGAAGAGCAGCAGCAGGGCTTGCAGCAGCAGGCCTGGCAGCAGCAGGGCTTGCAGCAGCTGGACTGGCAGCAGCAGGGCTTGCAGCAGCAGGCCTGGCAGCAGCAGGGCTTGCAGCAGCTGGAGCCGCAGCCCCCACAGCTGGAGCCGCAGCCCCCACAGCTGGAGCCGCAGTCCCCACAGCTGGCGCCACAGCCCCCACAGCTGGAGCCACAGCCTCCAGAACAACCACAGCAGCCCATGGTTCTGGTGGGTTTTGGGTGGAGTCGGTCAGAGAAGCAGGTGCAGAGAGGAGGGGTTCAGGTGTGGAGCCTCCTGGGCCAGGAGCCCTTTATATACCTGCCAGGGTCAGGTGAGATGCTGGCCCACGGTCACTTCCTGCTTCCTGTTTGTGCCACTCCCCCAGGAAGATCATATTTGTTTGTTTGTTTCATCTTAAAATAGCCTCAGTGTTGTCACGTTCTGCACGTTTTCTTTAGTTCACAATTTCCCCTCACACGTTCCCTGAAAAGGAACCAAGTCCTCCATGTCGGTGTCGGGTGGAGGCGATGGGAGCAGCGTCCGTGGCCTTGAGGCCGTGTTCATCTCTGCCACCTGTGTTAGCTTTTCGTGGCTGCCACAACGGACTGGGTGGCTCACGACGGCAGACGTTTCTCACCACGCGGTTCTGCAGGCCGGACGTCCAAGCTGGAGTCGCAGGCCGAGCACTCCCCGAAGCCTCCACGGGAGGACCCTTCCTTCCACTTCCAGCACACGGGGCCGCCAGTGTCCAAGTAGCTCCCCCGCCCAAGCTGGAGCCTAAGTCTGTCCTCACGTGGCCTTTCTCCCTGTGTCCGCACCTGACCTCCCCTCTTTCTCTGACAAGGACACCAGCCATTGAGTGAAGGCCCACCCTCATCCAGGACAACCTCGTCTTTCCTTTGATTCCATCTGCAAACACTTGATTCAGGGTCAGGATGGGATCTAGGATCAGAATTGGACTCGGGATTAGGACAAGATCCAAGACCAGGACAGGATTCAGGATCAGAACAAGACTCAGGATCAGGATAGGACCCAGGATCAGCACAGGATTCAGGATCAGAACAGAACCCAGGATCAGGACAGGACACATGGCTAGGACTGGACTCAGGATCAGGATAGGATCCAGGATCAGTATTGGACTTGTGATTAGGACAGGACCCAGGACCAGGACAGGATTCAGGATCAGGATAGAACCCAAGATCAGAATTGGACTCAGGATTAGGGCAGGATTCAGGATCAGATCAGGACCCAGGATCAGCATAGGAGTCAGGTTCAGGATAGGACCCAGGACTAGGACAGGACTCAGGATTAGAACAAGATCCATGATCAGAATAGGCCTCAGGATCAGGACAGGGCCCAGGAGTAAGATAGGATTCAGGGTCAGGATAGGACCCAGGACCAGGACAGGATTAAGGATCAGAATAGGCCTCAGGATCAGGACAGGACTCAGGTAATGAGCTGGGGTTCCCCTTCTGAACTTCTAGGATCCTGAGGTGTCTGCACTTAGTTGTGCGAACTTGTTAGGAAGGTCTCCTAAAATGTTCCAGGTCAACTTATCAACACAGTAGTGGACTCTGACATTTCTGATAGCAAACTCATCAATAAACAGCTTTTATTAAACACTATGCATCCCTGAAATAGGTGTATTTCTATAATGCATATTACCTATCCAGTCATATATTGCATGTTAACTAACTTTTCACGTTTTTGAAGCTGAAACATAAATATGTTTTAATATGATTTTCTATGCTCCACACTGGGGACCACACTTGTAAACCCATTCTTAAGTACTTTGGGTTCATATACCCTTCTTTGAAATTCAAACGAGGGTCTCCTTGGACAGGTCTATACATATGCACGAAAACGTGGAGTTTTGCACAAAATTTGCAAGAAATCACACAGGACCTGGTGTCCATCCGTGGTCTATAGCTCCAGATTAAAAACCCACCAGAAGAGGAGGCTCCAAGTGACAGGAGCCATTTCCCCTGAATAGTTACTGTGGGCTTCCCACGAAGACTGCAGGATTGATTGCATGGGTTTTCACACCTCTGTCACCTGAACCCACAATGAAAAGCCAGCAAAGGTGCCAGGGCAATATTGTTTCAGGCGGTAAAGTGCCAAGGGATTCAGCTGAGCAAGGAAAGGTAGTCTGGGGACAGGGCTGCAGATGAGAATATCAACACAGTGATGCACTTGGAATAAGCTGATACTGTGTGGTCTGGGGGAGGTCATCAGAGGCAGTGTAGTCTCTCTCTCGCCACTACCCCTGCTGGGTGGAGTGAGGTGCACAGAGCTCTTGTCACTACCCCTGCTGGGTGGAGGCCCAGGTGGTGAAAACATGAGGGCTCCAGCCAACAGCCATGTGGGGCACCATCTTGGAAATGGCTCCTCCAACCCCACTCAAGCCTTCAGATGATACAGCCTGGGCCAACACCTTGCTGAGAACAGACCTCAAGGCAGGACCACCCAGGAACATTTAGAGCTTGATGGAAAAGATTTTGAAACAAGGCAAGCATTCCAATAAAAATGCTAGAAAAAGCATAGACTTAAACCAAAATAATGAGAAAGCAGAATAAAAATAACAAGTGGGTAACAATGGAAGCTGTGTCTTTGAAAAATATCAGTAAGATAGACAGATGTCTGAAAAGCTGAACCGCAGAAGAGGAAGCAAGATCCAGGTAAATAAAATACAAAGTGAACAAGGTTAAATAATCCGTATGTAATGGATTTTACAAAAAGCAATTGGGGGAGCAAATTTCCTGGTAATTTGAAATCTAGAAGAAATGGATACATTTCTGGGGGGAGAAACATGAGATGGTAAAACTCACATGAAAAGATATTTAAAACTTGAAGAGATCAATAACCATCAAAGACAGTGGAATTATCACCAGGAATCTTAAGTCCCAGAAAGGCCCAGAAGCAGACAGCTTCTCAGTGAGTTCTAACAGAGGCTCTATCCTCTCTTCAAATGCTGGGAATACAATGGGAAGGGAAGTAGGTGAGCTCTCTTATGAAGCTCCTGTAAGTCTCATTTGAAAATCAGGCAAAGGACTGTAAAACAAAAGGGAAATTATAGATCTGCTTCATTAGGAATGAAAACACACAATTTCTAAATCAAATATTGGACTAATCAAGTAGGTTATTGAAAATAGCCAGTCACAGTCAAGTAGGGTTTATTCTAAGAGGATTAAGAAGCTCACCATCAAAAATATATCACTGCAACTCATTACCAGGGAGAAAAGAATTTGCGTGATCATCTCATCAGGTGTAACAAAAAGGTTCTATGAATAACTTAGGACTTTGCTGCCCAGGAGTGGAGAGATGGAAGAGTCTTCTGGAAGAACTTGATGAAAGCCCCATGAGGAAAGTTCAGATGCATTCCCTTCAAATTTGTATATAAGATGAAGATACCGGGGCGCCTGGGTGGCTTAGTCGGTTAAGCGACTTTCGCTTAGGTCATGATCTCGCGGTTCGTGGGTTCGGGCCCCATGTCAGGCTCTGTGCTGACTGCCAGCTCAGAGCCTGAAGCCTGTTTCAGTCTGTGACTCCCTCTCTCTCTGACCCTCCCCTGCTCACGCTGTCTCTCTCTCTCTCCTAGAAATAAATAAAAACATTAAAAAAAAAAAGATGAAGATACCGTCCATCACGACTGTGGGAAATGACAAATTGGTGACTGGTAGATGACGTGTCACATCCACCTTGAAAGACAAGCTACCAGAATTGACACAGACACAGCTGGAATAAGAGAGCCCAGCCAGGCTGCAGAATTCCTGCTCAAAGCTCAAAAAGGAAGATATTCTTCATCGGGAAGCAGGAAGCGAGGGGACAGGAGGGCTGGTCCCTGGGAAAACTCCCCACCGAGGTGCCCTCAGCCTTGTACGCCTTCTGTGACAACGACGTAGCAGTGAAAAGAGTCATTCTCTCCGAACCCATGTATACAGGGAACGCAGTTCTAACAACCCCAGAAGGTTATGAGAGAAACATAGCCATCGATTCTGACATAACACGGAAGAACTGGGCTTCACGGATCACGAGGAAGGGCTGCCCACCGCCTCCGCGACAAGGTCAGGGCGGGTCGGGCACTTGACTCCCGATAGAGGGCGTCCGAAGTCAGGGACAGAAAGTGTAGGCCAAACGCTTGTATCTCCTGCTTGCGGGAGGAGATGTCTGAGCGGCTACGTGGCTACGCGGGCTGCATTTGACCCTCCCAGCGACCCTCTGAGGCTCTTCCCAGCACGCAGCCCCTTTCCACGGGACTAACCCCTGTCACACCCCAGAGCCGAGGCCACACAGGACAAAGTTCCCAGTGGCCAGTTTGTGGACAGGCGAGTTGGGAGCACCGGTGGCTTCCAAAGCTAAGAATACGCAGAATGAGGCGTGTGCCTATGCTGATAAACCGTGTCCCAGCGAAGACACGGGCTGGGTTTATATAAAGAAATACGGCTTCATTTTTATAAGCGACTCGGCGAGAGAAGGTAGTGACATAAGATCTGTAGCCGACGTCCATGTCAGTTTAAAAGAAAAGCAAAAAGGCTACGCTCTGTCCTTTTTCCAGGATGCACCTATAGGCGTGGATGTATTGAAAGCGCGGGAGTGGGCTCTTCGGGGAAGGAGGGGCAAGGGGCAATCGGGGTCGGCAGCCCCACCGCATCAGGGAGGCCGATGGCAGCAACAGACCAGAAACCAATTTCAAAGGAACTCGTGACGCCCGCGGATTCTAATCCCCTTGCTCTCTTGGAAGAAAGAAAGAGAACCGGAGCTGGGGGAGGAGGGCCCTGTAGCTCGTAACTTTATTCTCAAGGATTACACTTAAGTTCTCTGGTACAGCCGTGATTTGTGCATTTTGCTCCACGTGAGCCCTCCTTCTGTGGGACTCGGCGCCCCCGGTCCGTGCTGCCCTCCTCCCTAGAGTCGGTCCTGAGGGAGGCTCGCAGGACCCTTTGATCCAGGCGCCGGAGGTATCGTGGGCTCAGAGAGTTTGGGACCGCTTGCCAGTTCTCTCTGGCTTCGACAGTGTTTTCGAGAGACATACATTCTTGGGGCCCGCTTCGTTTTCATCAGGTTTTTGAAGAGATTTGCTCCAAAATCTCTGAGCCTTAGACGTTACAGCAGGGCATCTGGAAACAGTCAGATACCAGCACCCTCCCCGCCCCAGGCTGCTGGGGATTTGCTGTTTGGGCAATATTTCTGGGGGCCCATCTCTGGAATTCCGGAACTTAATCACATGTCTTAGTCCGGGACATTCTGTGTTCACTTTCCCTGGAATATGTCGCTCTTTCCGAGTAAACCTGCACGTCTTCCTTCAGGCCGGGGAGGGCTTCCCGCAGTTTCCTCTGGCTGAGTGAGGTCCTCACCACTTTTCCTAAAGCTGGACCATCGTGCTGGCTGATGTCCCCGCTTTGCGTCTCCGCCTGCGCTGGGAGCGCGCCATGGCCCCCTGTGTCCGTCCCCGGGTCTCGGGCCTCCTGCGTCTCCCTCACTGCACCTGTGATGTCCTCGGTGCTCACGGAGGCCCTTCGGCCTCCGCTCTTCCTTCTAAAACATGCTCTGTGGTTTCACTGGGTCATCGATGAGCCCTAAGAAAATGATGATGCATATTTTAACTTGCTACGGAGCTCAGCCATTTGTAGGAAATGCACTTTTGTGTCCCAGGTTAGGTTGAGATTGGCCCCTTTGTCGTTTGCTCCCTGCCCCCCTCTTTTCCCCGCGCTCCGTCGCCAGACATCTCTCTACCTTTCTCAGGTTTCAGCCGCCCTGTCTAAACCCTGCACCTGTGTGGAGACAAACGGGAAGTTTCTGGTTTCCTTTGGCCGGCGACTGAGGGCAGGGCTGCGCGGTGTTTTCTGCGGCCCAGGTGCGCCCGGGCAGCGCTGGCGGAGGGGGTGACGGGGGCAGGGGGGTGGGGGGAGGGCGTTGTTAGGACACCCAGGCTCTACTTTCTCTGCCTGTCCCTGGATGTGGGCGCCTGGGGCTCACGCACCTGCGGGAGGTGTAAGCTGTAGTCACACAGACGCCCAGCCTCAGACCCGGCGCCGTGCAAAGGGTGCGCTGACTGCACAGACAGAGCCGCTGTTTAAAACCGTCCTAACCTTGGGGCACCTTGATGACTCAGTTGGTTGAGCATCTGACTATTCTGGGTCAGGTCATGATCCCAGGATCATGAGACTGAACCCTGTGCTGGGCTTCACGTTCCGTGTGGAGCCTGCCTGAGATTCTCTCTCACTCTACCCCTTCCCTGCTCATTCTCTCTCCCTTTCAAAAAAAAAAAAAAAAAAAAATCCTAAGCTAAACTCCCATATAAACACCTGTGGAAAACAAACTACACTGTTTGAGGATTAGAACTTTATTTCCTCCATATATAAGTAACTTCTCAAAGCGATAAAGAGCAAAGAAAATACAATTTATAGTAAAGTAAAAAAAAAAAATCACCCTCACTAAAAAAGAATTAAAGCAATAACTGAAATGCCCCTTTCTAGATGTGAAGTTCAGAAAGACTAGAGGAACACACGATCACACTGGCTGCTGTGTCTGCGTAGATCTTAGACAAGAGTTGCGAGCAACCTGGTCCCCGAAGGAGCCAGAAGGCAGAAGTAGCCGTGCTCGCCTGTGTGCTGTGTCGGGGTAAAGCTACAAAATCTTCTCTTCAATTAAGCTTCCTGCCCGACATGGAGAAAAGTTCAGCAAAAACACCCAACACCATGTTTACGTAGAGATTATAATGTAAAAGGAAACGTAGCTATCTAGGGGAAATGGTAAAATGGGGAGAAATTAATCAAAATGTTACCATTGTGTGCTGGGATTATTTGTTATTTTTACATCTTTCCTTATATTTCTGAGCTTCTTTTTATTGCGCAGCCATCTTATATTTTAAGAGTTGGAGGCAATATAAAAATGTAAGTGTTATTACTCATGTTTGACCGACTCTGGCCAGTTCAGTGGAAGGTGTTTTTGTTTTTTGGAGGGTGTTTTGGGGAGACGCTTATCGTGATGGTCTAAACACCTGCCCTCTGCATGTCACCTGGGAAAGCAGAGAAGGCAGGTGAGCAGGGTAATTACAGGGTCCAGATGCCGTGGGGAAGTGGCCGATGAGCACCTGGGGAGCACACCCCAGGGAGGGGAGTGGGCACGTGCCCAGAGACACCTGGCAGGTGTGTGAAGTCCCTGGCCCAGGAGGGTCCGCATCTCTGCACCTGCTCCTCTGACCGACTCCACCCAGAACCCACCAGAACCACGGGCTGCCGAGGTTGCTCCGGAGGCTGCGGCTCCAGCTGCTGTGTCCCCGCCCGCTGCCAGTGCAAGCTCTGAGGCTCCTGCCAGCAAGCGTGGGGGCCTGTTGGATGCAGGGGCCTCGGCTGCCCAGCCCACCGCTCCGGGGCTCCATGACCTCACTGTCCACCCCACCCGCACACCCAGCTTGTGCAGCGTGTTATTAGGGTGGACAGAACCCTGGGGCCATCTTGTCACCAAGTGCACCCTCCTCCTGGCTCTTCACCCACGCCCTCTGCTGCTTCTTGCCTCTCTGCCCCTCACCTGACCAGAGACCCAAACTGGCCCACAGAGGCCCGTGAGGTAGCCCTGTGAGGATGGAGGCAGAGGTGCGGTGAGGCTCGTGCCAGCCGGGGCCATCAGTGGTCACCTTCCAGAGACGTCCCCACGCGGCTGGATGAGAGTCCTGGCAAACTGAATCCCACAGTGTGTTTGCCCAATGACATATCACGACAAGCAGGGACCCCGGGTGTAGTGTGCCGAGTAATGACAAACCACGTCGTTAGCAGGGAGAAAGCGAGTCTTTCCAATTCCTGAAAAGGTAGGGATCAGAGTCACCAGTACCTGATGAGTAACAACACAACAGCAATCGATGGAAACTTCCTCAGGACGACGGAAACATACATACCCACACGCGCGTATTCACGTCCCCTGTGGAAGTGCTTGCCTGCGTCTGTCACACTCGCCTCTTCCCGCCTGGTGCCTCGGGGGGAGAGAGGTCTGTCCCCCAAGAGTGTGGCTTGTGACGTGGATGTCAGGGCTCTGCAACCAGCGCTCACAGGCTTCTCTCCCTGCCCAGGGAACCTGGCCTCTTGCTGAGCCTCCTCCCGCCGGGGCCCAGGGACTCTGCTTGGGACAAACTTACCCAGTCTGCCCCTTCTGGCACTGAGAAGAGAGACAGACATCCGTAAATTCTGGGCAGGAAACACCAATGCCAACAGGTGCCTTGTCCGTCCAGCATGTGGCTCCCTTAGCTCACGGAGGCACGACTTTCTGGTCCCTTTGTTTGAAAGGTGCCCGATACAGATTCTCTGGGTGGCGACATTTTCTTACAGACCTAAGGAATGTTTGCAATATAAAGAAGAGCTTTCAACTAAACGCACCTTTGCTTCCTCTTTTTTGCAAAGTTGTAATCAGAGCGTGTGTGCCATGGAACCCAGTCCATTCAGTAGGCAAGGGAAGGAAATCCCACGATAAAAACTGGAAAAGGGCAAGGAAAATTGCTGTAATTCATAAATGACATAATTTTTAACGTATAAAGCTCAAATAAATCTGTTATAACTAAAAAGTTAGTATAGCAAGGTAGGTGGATACAAGATCCACGTGAAAATCGTGTTTTGAGGACAAGCAATAATCTCTTAAAATTGAAATGTAAAATAGATCAAATAAAATTTAAAAGTTTAAAATATAAAAAACCCCCCAATTACATAGGTATAAAGTCCAAGTAAGAACTAATGAAAGTTGCAACATATTTTTCAAGGAAATTAAAGATCTAAGCAAATAAAGCCAAATACTGTATTTATGGATTCAAAAAGTCGCATTTAGAAAGATGTCAGTTCCTCCAAGACTTATATGTGGAATTCATGTCATTTGTATCAAAATCCCGGAAAGTTAACTTTGCTTGTGTTGATAAACTGACTCCAAAATGTATATGGAGGTGTTGGAGGTTGAAAAAAAAATTTTTTTACGGAGGCTCAAAAGACAGAGAAGAGCCATGGCAATTCCACAGACCTAATCGTCGAGCCAGTCGGCTGACCACAAAGGAGCGCGTCCTGGATGGCGCCACCCTTATGATTTCCAGAAAAGGACAACTTTAATCTGTGGTGATGCAGGCAAGACGGCGCTTGGGTCTGAGGGGCTCCCGTGGGAGGAGATGGCGGGGGGCCTTTGACACACGTAGGTACTTTCAGCAGAGGTGCACAAACTAACCGAAAGAATAAAATCAAAAGGCTAGAAATTGAAAACACAGAAACAGAAATAAAAATGGCTCCAAAGGGCTCAAACTGAAATACAAAGAGGAAAAAAAAAAGAGTAAGAAAGAGAACCAGCACATCTAGGAGCCGTGTGGCAATACCAAATAGCGTAACGTGCATGGAATGAGAATCCCGGGTGTGGGGAAGGAAGAGGAAAAGAGAAGGCAGAAGAAGTAGTTGGAGAAATAATGGCTGAGAATTTTCCAAAATGAGCGATAAACATTCAACCACTGATCTAAGAAATTCAGAGATTACTGATCAAGGTCAATACCCAAATACACAACCATCCAGACACAAACACACACTAGGGCAAATCGTAATTAAATGGCTGAAAGCCAGAGACAATGGGGAAATTGTCCTGATGGCTGTCACAGTAAAAGAACCACGTCACCCGCAAGATCACAAGGATGAGAATGACAGCAGGCTTCTCATCAGAAACCACACAAGTGAGATAATGGGGCGATATCTTTAAAGTGTTAACGGAAAATAACAGTCAACCCAGAATCTATATCCGATAAATAAATCCTTCAAAGGTAAAGGAGAAATAAAGACTTTCCCGAGCAGATAGAAACAGAGGGACTTTATTTCCGGCAGGCCTGCTCTGTAAGAAATGTTTAAGGGATTTCTTCAGACCGAGGAAATGTGGTATAGGTCAGAGATTTGGATCTAAAAAGAAAAAATCTGGGAAATAGACAAAATGAAGGTAAAATATATTGTCTGTATTTTTAATTGCTCTACAAGATAACTGCTTAAAACAAGAACAGTAAGAATGCACTGGATGGTTACGACTTATGCAAAGGTGGGGTGTATGCTAACCACCGCGGCAGGTATAGGAGGGAGGGTTTGGGCACATAAGGTCCCTACTGTATACACGAAGCAGTAGAATATTATTTTTTGGTGGGCTAAGATTATTTTAAAGTCTATAATGTAAATGCCACTAAACAGTGTTTTTAAAAAAAGAGATATGAATAAGTCAGTAGAGGAGATAAAATAGAATAATCAAAAGTTCCGAATTATACCCAAGAAGATAGAAGAAGCAGATAAAGAAAACAAAGAACAAACATGACAAGTATAAACCGGCTACTAAGGTAAGAGTTTGATCTGATCGTATCCATAATCACTGTAAACATGAATGTGGTAAACACGACAGTTAAAGACAGAGATCGTCAGACTAGATAAAGAAGAAATACCCAAGTGTATGCTCTCTGTAAGAATTCCACTTTAATATCAAAACTTAGCTAGGTCAATGGTAAAGGGATGGAGAAAGATATGCCGTAATAACGTGAAGAGGGACGTTACACATTGATGTTTCAATTCATCAAGAAATTAAAATAATCATAAACATTAAGCACATAATAACAGAGCTCCCAAACACAAGCAGCAAAAGCTGATCAGAAAAACACATCCTCCAGTACGGCCAGAGTCTCCCATGCCCCTGCCCAAGCGGGCAGAGGGAGGAACGTGGAGGGTCTGACAGCGCCCTCAGGCAACCTGGCCTAGTGACAGTTCTAGAACGTTCCCCCCAACAATAGAGAAACCTTATTCTTCTTTAAATGGGCTTTTAAAAATTGAAGTATGGCTGACACACAGTGTTAGTACCGGCTTCTGGCGAACAACGTAGCGATTCCCCGGGTCCCCGTGCTGTGCTGCCCTGGCCACGCTGCGGCTGCGCCCGCCTGCACAGGCCGCCATTACAAAACCACAGCTGTGTTCCCCGTGCTCTACTGTCGTTCCCGTGACTCATTCATCTCATCCCTGGGAGCCTGTACCTCCTCCTCCCCTTCACCCATTTTCCCCCCGTCCCCCCCTTCCCCCTGACGCCCACCAGTTTGTTCTCTATTTATGGGTCAGTTTCAGCTTTGGTTTGTTTGTTTGTTGTGAAAACTCATGCTTTTCAAGCACACACAGACCATTTGCCAAGATAGATCATACCCTGGGCCCAAAACCAAACCTTAGCAAATTTAAAAGCCTAGAAGTCATATGAAGTGTGTGTTGAGCAAGGGGCACCTGCTGCCTGGCCCCAGGAGTAGGCATCTGAGCACTTCTGTCCTCTCCCTCTCCATCCGGGAGGTGCCAGGAGACGCACAGGCAGTCGTGAGGGATGGGCAGTGCCCGAGTCACACGGAGAAGAGACCCTGAGGTCAGTTTCGGGGGTGAGTGCTGGTCCCCCATGGCAGCTGGTCCCTCCTGGCGGCTGACGCGGAGCTGTGGGCCTGCACGCACCCCTCTTGCGCCACAGCAGGACCCCTTCCCCTCCCCTCAGGGGACAGATAAGAGCGGGGTTTGGCCCGGCACCATCTGACCCACATCCCGAAGCAGATCAAAGGCGCACGCAGTGAGTCTGGAGCAGGGAGAGATATTCCCACCCAAGATGACAAGGCCAGCGGCTCCTTATCTCCCATCGAGAGTGCTCTGGGCCACCGCCCATCCTCATGTGGCCGGGGTGGGGGAATCCGAAGAATGCCTCCGCCAAAAGTATGTTTGCAAACCGAAGCAGATTAACCTTAAAATCAGGAACATGAAGATCTCCCCAGCTATTTGGAAATCAAACCACCCATCTCTAAATGGCCCAAGTGTCAGACAGTCTCGGTGGAAACTTAAAAATATTTTGAACTAAGTGAAAAGAATATGCAACATTGCAAAATCTGTGGAATGCAGCGAGAGCGGTGCTTCGTGGGGGAATTTACAGCCCTGGGAACACAGATCAGGAAAGAAAGGCCCCTAATGAACAGGTAAATGGATACCCCAGGCAAGCAGAGAACCAGACTGTGCCCGCTCGATGAAAGCAAACACAAGAAGGAAGGAAATCATGAAGATTAGAAGCCAATAAAATCGAAAAGACAAAAATAGAGAATGTCAGTGAAACCAGAAGCTAGTTCTGTGGGAAACATCTAGCCAGGCCGACCGAGGGGAAACCAGAGACTCAAATCCTCGGTGTCAGAATGAAATGGGGGACATTGATGCTGATCCCACAGACCTTACAAGGGTAGTGGGGGGACCCCGGGACCAACTGTGTGCCCACTGAAACTAGGCAGCATGGTTCAGTGTCGGCCCGGGGGCTCCCGGGGCGCCCCGGACGGCCTGGGGCTCTTGCTGGCGCTTGCTGGGCACCCCTGGGCTTCTGCTTAGGGCCCTGCGTGCTGCCCAGGGCCGCCCGTCCGTCCGTCGGGTGTGGTCTACCACGCGCGGGAGGCTCTGCGGCCCACTCCGCAGGTTTCTGCAGCTCTCTTCCTGTTGGGGGCTCCCCTCGGGGTGGGGGGGGCTCTGCCTCACCGCTGCCAGCTGCCTGTGTGCCCGTAGGTAGTGATGCTATCAGCCGGGGGTGCCCAGGGCCCTCACCTGCCCCCACAGACCTTTCCCACCGGGCCCAGGGTTGTGGCTGCACCGGCCCGGCCGGTCCCTACGGTGACCTTGGGACACACCTCGGCACCGGCTGAGGAACTTGCTCCTCACAGGTTCTGGGGGGCCGTGAACACCTGGGGCCACACGGCAAGGTCACGGGGAGAGAAGGGGCACCGTTTCTAACTTTTTGGGGGAGTGCGGGGGGTGGGCGCTGGGGCTTCACGGATCCATTCTTTGTTGATGAACTTAGGATCAGAGCAGGACTGGGCAGAGGAAGGGAATGCGAGGTCAGCGAGGTCAGGCAGCGCCCGCGGTCTCATCCCCGGGCTGAGCAGAGCTTCATGGGTGGGGCGGCCGGCTCCTTATCTGGCCCTGCGGCCATGTGGCGATTACTGGGGATGGATGTCTTTGAAGTGGGTGCCTCAGCTGGCAGAGCTGGGAGTCAGGCACGGAGGCCACGAGCCCCCATCTCTGAGCCCCTCCCTTGAGGAGGCCGCTGGGAGCGGTGGGGGGGGGGCTCTCTGGGGACCCCTCCTGCCCCACGGTTCTGGCTCCAGGAGGGAGCCGGGACAGCCCAGGGCTGCTGCACTCACTGCCCGCTGGCCCCGTGCAGGCTGTCTCCGGGGACGCGGCCCCTCACGGCCACCGCGGTGTGGCCGGAAGCGGGGTCTGGGGGTGTCTATGGAGTCCTCACTCTCACTAGCGGCTGCTTCCCAGGCTCTTTCCACTTAGAACCTTGCATTTCAGACATTCCGCAGGGAGGCTCAGACACTGCAGACCCACTGGTCACATCACAGAGTCTTGTTAACCCTTAGCGATTAAGGCCGGTTTGATGTTAAGGAAAGTGGACAATTAGTCAAGCCACAGTGTCAGACGGTGGGTGTTTGTCCTTAGTCGCGGTTGATTGCCTGATCACTGATTTTGAGGCAATCTTCCAGCATCAGCTAATGACAGCCCGAAAGCGGAGGTGCCGTGTCTGTGCGGAGAGCAGTTCGACGCCCACGTCTCCCTCGTGCTTTCTCCACGCAGGTCACCATACGCTGCCTTAGTGCGTTCCTCTCACCCGTGGCCTGCGGTGGGTCCTTCTTCAAGACCCCGCAGTGGCCCCCAGGCCTGGGATCGGACAGAGGCTTCTGGAAGCTCAGGGGAATGTTGGCCTAACTTTTCACCTGCCTCCTACCCTGGGGCACAAAGGCCGCAAACCCTCTGGCCAAAGTGGCCTCGAGAAGTTGACTCGACACTGTCTTCGGAACTCTGTGTCTTCAACCATGTGTGTCCTGCCTGGAAAGATGTCCAGTTGAGCTCGTGCCCTGAACCAGCCACAGCCCCGCTGCCTGCCTGCCGCACGCGGACAGGCTGGCCGGGCGCACAGGGCACAGCCACGGCAGCGGAAGGATGTGTCCTTTCTTGTGAGGACTGGGAACTCTTCAGACTCCTGATTTTTGTTTTTTTGTTTTTTAATTTTTTTAATATTTTACTTTTGAGAGACAGAGAGACAGTGTGAGCAAGGGAGGGTCAGAGAGAGAGGGAGACACAGAATCCAAAGCAGCTCCAGGCTGTGAGCTGTCAGCACAGAGCCCGACACGGCTCTCAAACCCACAAACCGTGAGATCATGACCTGAGCCGAAGTCGGACGCTCAACCGACTGAGCCCCCAGGTGCCCCAGACTCCTGATTTGTGAACACAAAAGCACCATAAATGATCAAGGTTGAGGTTTTCCTGGTTTTTAAAGTGATAGAAACAACCATTTGAATTTTCCAGTCCTGATTAAAGCAGCCGCACGGGCGATGAGGGCAGACGCAGGGAGATGGGGTGAAGCCCACCCTGGGCCAACAGCTCAGGCCGGTGGCAGACGCCCGTGCTGTCTGGGTGCCCGCCTGCCCCGGGACCCTCGGAGCCCCCCTTGTGGGCTGGGGCTGCGGCGCTGCGCCCTCTGGTGGACGAGAAGCCCAGTGTGGCCGCCCAGCCTCGGAATCTCCCCGAACACCAAGGCCTGGCTTGGAGAAAGTTCCTTCTGCTGCTGTAACTGCCTCGCTTTACAGCTGCAGCCAGAGGCCCTGGACAGGGTGGATGGGGAGGAAGGGGTGCGCTTTCCTGCCCACCAGCCTCTGCCTGAGATTTCCTGTTGTGGCCAAAGCCATTTGTGCTGTTCCGTGTCCCCGGGGGTGGTGTGGCCGGCTGTGGGGCCTCCCTGGCTGCTCCCCTCACTCTAGGGAGGGACCCGCATCCTGAGCTCTGTCCTCTCTGGGTCGGTGCCCCTGGCCAACCCACCAGCACCCGCAGACCCAGGAGGGACTGACGCTGCCCGCTGGGCAGGGCGTGTGCCCCACACCGTTTGCAATCCTGCCTTCAGGATTATCGAGTCAGGGAGCCAGGAGACCGCGCGCACGGGGTATATGTTGTTAGTAATAAGTCCAAGACCTCAAGCCGGTTCTAACATGTAAATAATCAGCGGGACCCCGAGAGGCGACAGGAAACAGGGGTGTGTACGGCCCCCGTAGTCAAACGTGCGGGTGCAGAGCTGGGTGTGTGCCCTGCGCCCGCGGGGTTGTCTGCTGTGGGGCTGGGGGGCATTCAGTGGCACTCCGTCAACGTGTGAGGCCAGGCCCCCTGACAGGTAACCCACCGAGGAGTCTGCGCTTCCAGGTCCCAGGCTCCCGCGACACCTCACGCTCTTGCCCACCCAGCTCGTCCCGCCTCCTCTCCCTCGGAGCTCGCCCCTGCTCTCCTCCGGAGTGGACTTCTTATTGCTGTTTTCTGAGTGTGCGTTTCTGAGTGTGCGTTTCTGAGTGTGCGTTTCGGTGTTGACCCCGGCTCTGCTGAGGCACAGACTGACGGGGGGGGGTGGTGGTGTCCCTGGCGGTGCACTCTCCCTCCCCCTGCCTGGGACGCGGTGCCCTTGGCCTGGGGAGTGGGGCTCCATTGTGAGTCAGCAGTGTCGTCAGGACTGGCCTTTAGCAGAGCCTTGGAGGGTGGGCGCCTGAAGGACAGGCTGTTGGCTGTGGAGACAGCTGTGCGCACGGAAGAACCTTCGTAGGAGCACAGCCCCCCCCGCCCCCGGCCACTTGTACAGAGCTCTCTGAGGGGCTCGAACCTCCTATGTTGGACTCGACGTGGGCACCTGAATTTGGCTCAGTGATTTAAAAAAACAAAACCACTTTGTGCAGGGCTAGAGTTCTGAAATACTCCTTTGAGGCGGGAGAGGCGTGGCGGCGGCGCAGAGCCGGCCACCAGATGGCAGTGTTGCCCAGCAAAAGAAACGGGCGCCGGCCGGTGAGGGGGTGCGAGGCCGCAGGGGAGTGGCGGCCTGGGGAGGGCCCCCAGCTGCGAGCAGCGGGGGAGGGTCTGGTCAGAGCCCTGGGGAGGGGAGGGCGGGGGGGCAGGGCTGCGGGAGACCCT